AGTTTTATTAAGAAAGGACTTGTGTCGCTTAAGTTTCGTCGGAACGAAGTTACGGAAAATCAATTAACAAACGGAGACGTAACAATATGTTTCTTGTGACCTATCTTATCACTGAAAAACACACTTTATCCTCATTTTTCATATCTTTATCTTTAGATTTTTTGTAGGACACTGGTAGAAAGCCTGTAATTGATTATTTTAAAATACCTATCTTCTTTGTGGAGGATTACTACAATTTATACTTAATACTCTCAGTTAAGAATCGTTTAACATATAATTTTTACTTTCTATGTGTGATAGTTCATGGTTGTTGTTTTTTGGAGTTGTAAAAACATTTAAAAAGAAACACAGAATATCTTCTGTGGTATTAATAGATTTCAGATATTTTTAACCCATTTGTTGCATGGTAATTAACCAGTAACATATCATTACATTTACCACATTTCCAGCATAATTAGTAAGGGAATATTACATTTGTACTTCAACAGTTTGTGTCAATACCACTTTGTTGAAAGTGAAGTACTTTGAAATGAATGTATTATTATTATGAAGAGGTAGAGTTGTTGGAGGGTCATTCAGCTCCTGTTTTATGAAAACACAGTACAGGTCTAAATGCAGCATTATATAAATATTATATATATGTCTTATGTATATATATTTAGCTCTGAAGGAACATTTCAGTAAAACTGGAAAAATAGATAAAATTTCATAAACTAAACAATATACTAAAACACAAAAGTCATTATGATTCCTTTGTCTTAGTTTAGGCATGTACTTACAATAAGACATAAGTATTTGTAGCAGAAAATGAAACTCTGGATCATACTTGATATTGTATTGATAAAAGTTAAGTGATTAACAATTTTGTGTTTAATTTAATTTAGTAGTATTAAGCTTACGTGGCTTTAGCCAAATTCAACCAATTCACCTTAGATAATTTGCTAAATGCCTTAGGATAGAATCTAATCAACAGTTTTAATTTAATTTAATTTTTAAAAAGTTCATAAACTACCTCTCTCATCTCAAAATTAAACTTTTTATATTTATTCTGTTTTATGTTTTTTTTTCTGTTGTATGTTAGTACTTGAAACAAAAATTTAGCCATGTGTTATTACTTCCTTTTTTGTTTCAACTGCTGTTGCTTTTGGACAATCAGCTTCTAAAGAGTCGCAAGACTTACAATATCAAATGTATCCTACTTAATAGTTAGATTATTTTCAAAATGATTATGTAAGTCATTGTTTAAAGACTTAAGTTGAAATATAGAGCTTGGGAATTTTGCCAATTGTGACAATTAATTTTGTTTGAGAGCTGGGAAGTTAAACCAACTTGTATCATAAAGCCATATATTTTAATGTATAAAAAATCTAAAATAATCTCCTCAACTACAATTACTTTAAATCAGTGGATCCCAACCTTCAGTTCAAAGGGATATTTCAGCCAGTGTGCAAGATGGTGGAAAAAAAATTGTCTGTTTAAAATACAGCTAGTGAAGTATATTGTCTTACAATGTCATATAAAAGTGCCTTAAAAGTTAATATTATATGAAGTAGTCCATGAAATTTTGGGATCAGAACTAGTTGGTCCTCAGCTGGGAATATTGACAAAGAATGACTTAAGTAATTTGATTTTGGGTTTTTATATATTTCAGAGTACTGTAAATGAATTTTTTGGTATATTAGGTACGTTTAGCCATACTTTTGGCTGGTCTTCAGGGAGATAAGATTGTTCTTATAGTTCCAACAAGTGTGTTAAAGCATCAAGGGAAGTGGCTGAATTTGCTGGAAGGATTGGTACAACATGGAGATTGTCAGTGGGTGTGGAATGAGCAGGACATGGAAAGCATTGTGGTAAACATCCGAAGAACGTTTTGGAATGGAGACAGGGTTGACCATCTCACATGCTATGAGATGTTCACTGAACGTGTAAAAAAAAATCTGCATGTAATCATGTGCTACACTGGGAGAAACCAGGTGAATTGTTAATATCTTATCTAGCTTGTGTTTTTATTTATTATTTTTGTTCACAATATACCACTGCTTTGATTTTTTATGTTCTTTTTTACTAATATATTGAATTATTGTTAACTTGTGATTTTTAATATCTCTATTAAATAGAAATTAATAATACATAAAGTAAATCTTGATTTTTGTGCTTATTAAACATATCTCTAGGAATAACCATTCTCTTGATTCTTCTAAAGTAAAAATCCTCAACAGAGAAAATAACATTAAACATAAAAAATAAATAGCCCTTGTTAATGAAAACAAACATTTTCTTAATAAATACAAAGATGTTCATTTATATCTAATTTAATCAGTCTCTCTTGTATATAAAACAACTTTCTATACTTAGGCTCAGACCTTCAAGCTTTATTTCCATTGTTATATATTAGACAATTCATTGATATCTATTTTATTAATTATACAGTTACTGATTATTTTTATTTGTGGATTATTTATTCTTGTGGATATGCATGTAATTTTTTATATTGAATTAATTTCTATTAGCCTTAGTTCTTATATCTCATCTTATGATGCCTGGTGGAATATTTTGACAAAACAAACAAAAGTTCTATTCAGTACAGCTGATACAATCTTGTCTGAAATTAAAAAACAGAGATCTTAATAATACTTAGCTATTCTGATAGTTATATATTACCCTTTAACCTGTTTTTTTTTCTTTTTCTGTACAGTTTTAGAGATAATACAATACCTAGATCCAATACTGCAAAATACGTTATGTTTTCTTAAAGAGGTTTTGGTCCTTAATGCTAGAGGTTTAACCTTAATCAGATTATCAAGCTACTAACAGTTGTATAATACTCGTCGTCCCACAGTGGGTTAGGAATAAGTTCTATCAGGGTATTGTATGTGTGGGCTAAGGATTCTTCTACAGTAGGTGTCTGTGACTTGTTGGTGATAAATTTGACAGTAAACGGACAGCAAACACTCTACTTGTTTTAAAATAATATATTCAAAACAAGTCAAACTATGTACAAAAATTCTTTACACTATGGATATCAAACTCACTATGTATCTCAAACTCTAAATAATTCTTTTTTCTTATCAACAGTCCACTTAGGTTGATTCAATTACTTTAGAATCCATTTGACAAGATGAACTATTTTTCTCTACTCTTATCACAATAGTATCAGTGAATAATTCACTTACGCTACCCCGCTACTGAACTTCAAATAAATGACTCCTTTTCATCAAAGTCCACACAGACAGGTTCAATTACTTTATAACACCTTTTAACAAGACAAATTATTCTCTTTATCTCTATTAAACTGTGAAAGACTTTAAAATATTGCCTGTTATGGCTAATCACTCACACACTGGCTAACTTCACGTTTTCTTTCCCTAACTAATTTTTTGATTGGACTGCACTTTTTCTCTACTTTTTTTAACTTGTGCTCGCAAACCACCTATATATATATGTATATTCACTGAGGCCTCGAATGTTTGACAAACTATGTGAGCCACACTTTAAGGTAACAATACTCACTTAAGGTAACAAGGAAAATACTGAAGATTCAAGTAACCTGGTGTCAACAATACTACAACAATTGAACTACAGAGTTTCGCAACCAAGCTACTCATAACTATCGCTTTTAAGATGATTAACTTTTAACATCCTTGTTATGAAAAGTAAACAATCATTAAATATTAACTCACAAAATTAATTGAATAATAATGGCTACACTAAACATTCTTGTATATCCAACAAGTTCACAGGTTTGCAACACTAAAGCCCCCAGTGGCCCAACAGTATGTCTGTGGACTTACATCAATACCCTTGGTGGGCAGAACACAGATAGCCCATTGTGTAGCTTTGTGCTTAACTACAAACAATCTTAATGCAACACTAAATTCTAAAGTTAGATTCCCTGCAGTAGACAGAACATAAGTGCCCCATTATGTAGTTTTGCAATGAAAAACAAACAAATAATACTCATTCAAAATATAAAAACTTTAAAATCAGTTAGACTCACTAAAAGTATTTTCTCATTGAGTTGTTTTCATGTGACTTCAAATTCTGATTATTTTTAGTGCAATATAGAGCATACATCAACTTACTCCAACTTCTCCACTCTCCCACATTTAACTTATTTTACATACATTAGGAGAATGTAGATAAGCCCTACTTTCTCATCTAAAACCAAATTTTCTTGTTGACAGTTGTGCTATTAACATCTCTATGAATTCTGAATACTAGACTTAGGTTGATATGTAAGGATGAGCAGATTGGCTGGTTGGACTTGTGGGACCAGTTTAATGGGAGAAGGGAGCTTTTTTGAATGGATCATTTACAGTTAAATAGGGTAGGTGCTGGCTTGTTTGCAAGGGCTATTGACTCAGCTGTAAGGGAAGTTTTAAACTGGGACTAGACAGTGGTGAGGGCCTGGATAGACCAACTGCAAAAAAGATAAGATGTAGAGAAAAGTTTAGCATAGGAAATGAGTATAGAAGTAGTTCTAAGGGTAGGCTCAATTGTTGCTATTGTAATGCTAGTAGCATAAGAAATGAAATAGATGATTTTAGACTATGTCAATTTATTTGCCAAGGCCATTGGTTAACAAAGGTTGATATACAGGAGAATTAACTACATATTCATATTCATCTGTCATTCCACCAGTTACTTTTTCCCCCCATGAAAAAGTAAATTTTCAGTTTACTGACTTTCCCTGTGCCCCTTATGTTTTCTGTGAAGTATTCAAAGTGTTTGCTAATTTTCCCCATTTACCCAACATGGACTTTCATTTATACATGGACAGTTGTCGTATTCTGACCCATTTATCTACTAAGTCTCTTCAACACACTTAGTTGACCACTCAATTAACTGCTTCTCTGAGAAGTATAATCCACATATCCAAGTCCTATTTATGACCAATAGAATATTTGATACATCTGGGATTTTGGATCAACACAGTTCAAGGAATGCTTCAGGCATCCCCTTGGAGTCTCATGTTCATTCTATTCTGCCTTTCACACCAGCCAAACACATCTTTTCTACTTTGAGTACAATTGTTTTTTGTCACAATATCATTTTCTTTGGCCATGCTCACATGCATCGCTTCCAATGGGACCTAGCTTCTCAATGGTGTCTGACTTTAGACCCATCACACATCATAATTGTGTCTTTCAATCACACTATTATTTGTTGAATGAAGAGTTTATGACAGCTGGAATTCCCTTTCTTCCTTTACCTATAGAAATTCATCTTTTCACAGATGTCTCTCTCATGGGTTGGGGTGCTATGTTGGGTAATTGTCATTGTTCTGGTACCTAGACTCTTCACAAGCAACAGCTCGCATTAACATGCTAGAATTATGTCATGAGTTCCTGCTCTTTCTAAACTACCATTCTGTTTTGATTCACAAAATCAACAATTCTACAGTGGTGACTTACATGAATAATTAAGATGGTAGTCTTTCTCACAACCTTGAATTTCCATTTTTCTTTCTAACATTTGACATCTATGGGTGACTATTGTTAGGTAATTTGTCCAAGAAACTAGATTTTCTTCCATGGTGGTTTGTATGTTTGCCAACTCATGCTGATACTCTTTCCTGGTGGTTAGTCAATCCCATTTGACTACCTTCAGGAGTTGCTGCATCAGACATAATGTTTTTGGACTGTCTTCAACTCCATGGTTCTTCCATAGCTGATAGAGCTGTTTTATATGCAACTTTCAGATGCCACAGAAGCCATCAATCTTTTTTTGTCCCTGTTTTTAAAGGGTCTCTTCCTAGGCCTGGCACCTTCAGTGCCCTCAAGTCCCAGATACTATCCCCAATGGAACTTGGGTTTCATCTTATGTTTCTTGACATCTTCCCCTTTGGAGCTCTTAATGACTAGTTCACTCTCTTTCATCTATACCTTAAAACATTTATTTTTTATTGTTTATATCAGGCAGAGGATACTGATATATATTTCCTTGATCTTTCTTGTATGCTGTTTTTCAGAAGCCTTCATACTTATCCAGATTATAGATCACACCTTTATACTTAAAACTTGGGCTGAAAGAGAAAGTAACCATTGTTTTTCACCTTTTTTACCAACCCTGTCTATTCCTGATTCTCATTCTGAAGAACATTTTTATGTCCATTCAGCTGTTCTTTGTTACTTTGCATGCACTTAATTTTTCAGAAAAGGTTGTTTATTTCATATGATGAATCACATTCCTCATATCTTGCTTTGGCTACATTGACAAATCTGTTTGTGCAGTTGATCCAATAGCAGTTTACAGTGATGTTCCCAAACACTTCAGAAGTTAATTTCAATGACATTTCACCAAATTTGCTATTTGCCAATGTCCTTGACTTTCGGGTCACAATACCTTTTAGGGGATATCTTGTAAGCCTTCATGTGGATGAAATGTGTTCTTGAAATTTTATTTACACCATGGTTCCCCGGTAGGACAGCGGTAAGTCCTCGGATTTACAACCCTAAAATCAGGGGTTCGATTACCCTCAATGGACACAGCAGGTAGGCCGACATGGCTTTGCTATAAAAAAAATACATTTACACCCTGACATTCTAGTCATAATACCCTTAAGGGGATATCTTGCAATCCTTCATGTGGATGAAATGTGTTCTTGAAATTTTATTTACACCATATTGCTGTCTCTTTAGCTTTCTGATTCTGTTTGCATCCAGTTATGATTCTTCAAGCCAGATTGAATCCCTTTTACTTGAGTTATTCTTTACTACCTGCTTGTTTATCACTTGGATCACATATGTTGTGTGTGGAGACTCGGATATATCTCTCTCACCAAACACATTTGATACAAATTTTAAAAAAAAGTAAAATTTCCTTTTCCCACTTTTCTTAATTATTTTATACCTCATGTTTTATGACTATTCATGCATGGTTATAATATGAATTTTGAAAACTGTGCTCTTATTTCTTCCACTGTGTATGCATGTTGTGAGACAATATTTACAGTGTTCTTATACATTGAACAGTAAAGTACCATGCATTCTCCAGGTAGATCACACACTTTATTTGAAATCTAAGTAAAGCCTAAAATTCAAACAGTATGTGGTGTTATCCTTGAGACACATCTAATGTAGAAGTCTTTGTAGATACACACCTAGAAAATCAGTATTTCTCATAAAGATGAAGCAAACTTAAGAAGAGGAAGGAGTAAGTATTGATTGAGTATTCATGGACTACAATGAGGAAAAGCTTTTCCTGATTTATACATTTTTATCAATGGAAATATTTCTAAGATGGTATCACTAATATCTAAACTGCCATTTTTATGTCAAGATGCTAAAGAGGTGCAATACCACTAACTGCGATGTTGTGTCTGACAGGTAAATAAGAGAGCTACTGTAAGTTGCTCATAAGGGGTTAGCCATAAATATCAAACAAACAAACAAAATGTCAAAATAAAGAAGAAAATTGCATATTTGTTTTATTGAATAATGTTTACTAATTGCTTCTGTAATCAAGGAAATCTAAAGACAGAAATTGAGTCATAGGAAGTTTTTAGCTTCATATTAAAGGTTTTATTGTTTCTGGGGATATGTTTAGTCATGTGATATGTTGCATTAAACGGTTTTGAAAGCGAATGTAAAGCAATAGAAATTAAATCTTACCTTTCTAGAATATGTTAATATTAAATGTTATCTGAAAGTATACTAAAGAATGCTATTAAATAATATGATCGATTAAATCTGTTTTTGGAAATTATTTGTTCATTTTATATTCTCAGTAAACAATGTTAAAGGTTGATAAGAATTAAACATTACCATTTCGTAAAATTTTTTATTAATAATGTGCATGTATATTGTATTAAGGTATAAAATCTGTTCTTCTTGCAGGATCAGATGGATTTGATCAAGAGGCTGGGACCTATATTTACTCAGATCTCATACTTTGAACACTTTCTGCCATGGAACAAAGACAGTTGGACTAAATTAGCATTACATTATGTGGTATCTTTCTTTGAATTACTTTTGTAAATTATCTGTGTTTAAAACTATTTTTTATGTATTTTTTTTTTGTAATTCAACTAGCTGAGGGTACTCATTAAGAAGCAAAAACTGTATAATGGACAACATTAGAGAATGTTCTCCCTTCTGTTAATTATTAAATCCTTAATGACCTCATTAGGTGCTAATTGCATATCATGCTCTGTGGAAAGTAATAATTGACTCATTTAACTGATTAAGTACTTGTGTCTTTGAATTCAAACCCAAAAGTGTATAAAAAAGTGGAAGTGGGCCATATGTCATAGTGGTTTTTATACTTCATGGGGAAATAAAATCCTAAAATAAGATAGCCTATGTATAACGTTGGACAGTTTCTAGTTGCCATATAAAAAATTATGGTAATTAAGCCAGCCAACTCTGGATGTTGAATGCTAACACACACATACACATAATGAATCATCATTTTAGTGAGATGCAAAGGCTGAGATGTTTCAGTTTTATTATTGGTTGCTCTTTTGTTACATTTGGTTAGGCATTTACAAATAAAATTAAAATAATGATTAGAGCACTATACATCAATGGCGGGGACAGAAAAACTGTCCTTAAAGTTGGCATTCCAACCCCAGTATGATGTTTGAACATAAAAGCCAAGATGTTATGGTATTATATACTAAACCCAACCTTTTGTTTCAGTACAGCTCCTATTTTCCCCCCCCCCTTTTTTTTTCAAGAAAATTATATTTAAATTATTGTACATATGCAGTATAGCAAATAATAATGGTTTCGGCTTTCATATTGAAAATTCATGAAGAAATATAAATAAATATTCAGTATAGGTTTGAAATCAGCCAAAATGTGTTTATTACAATTAGCTTTGACTTTCAGTAGTCATTGTTATTCAGGGGAGAGCTAAGATTCTGAGGTATTTCTAGATATACTTATTAAGATATGTGTGTTCCCACGAGTGAGTGTACATTAAGTTTAAACACAACACTAATATCCATGATTTGATTCCAAAATGTGGACAGAATGCGGTTATTTGTATGATTATGTAGTGTGTACAGTGATCCATAAGAATGGGAACGTATGCTAATTAATATGTACTTCATTCAAAAACTACAAATGTTTGCAATTTTTTAAAACTTTTTTGATTACCCAATATACACATACATTATTTATAGTACATACAAACCCTTTGATGGATGATGGTAGATAAAAAAAATAGTGAAAGATTGATATCTGTAGATGGATGGCATTCCCCACTGACAATTTATAATTTGTGCACTTCACAACAGACATATACATCCTTTTCCAAAGAGAGAAATTAGACATGACTGAAAGATCCATTGTGTCCACTAATGTTCAATTTTGGTCATGATGGACATTTTCATCAGTATCCATCAAAGAATACCCCCCCCAGTGGCACAGCGGTATGTCTGCGGACTTAAAATGCTAGAATCTGGATTTCAATACCCGTGGTGGGCAGAGCACAGATAGCCCATTGTATAGCTTTGTGCTTAATTATAAACAAACAAACCATCAAAGAATTAAATAGTAAATGCTAAAAATTGAAAGTTACATGCAGATTTATATTCTTTCATAAAATTTTCTCATTGGTTAAAAGAGTAAATTTTAGTGGCACTAATATTAAATAGTTGTTGTAGCCTAATATGTTTCCAATATATATATATATATATAT